CTGATACGTTTAGATGACTGTATGAATGTTTGGGTTAAGAAAGAAAAAACTACTAACACTACAACATAATTGTTGGATTTTAGTTTAAAATACTGCTGCTATAGCAACAATAATGCTTTAGCAGAAAAAAATAACTTAAACTTATAGTAGATTAAATACCATTGATAGGCTGCAAAAAGGCGGCAATCTTGTTAAAGTGTTAAATCATACACAATGAAATTTCAAAAAGGATCTGTGGCTACAAGTTTACTTTAAAACACACTTCACAGCAAAACTATGGCCACGGCAAACACGTATGGATATGTATATTAAGCAATTACTTGTTTCTCTAGATATGTGACAGCTTTGAATATTTTTCGTATTATAAACACTTGCATTCACTTTTCGTTGCAACTAAGCAGCAGTTTATTGGCCAAGTTAAGCTGTTAGTGGAAAAAAAGATTCTTTTTGATTTAAGTATTATTATTTTTTTGTTTTGCTCTTTATTTTTATGCCCATTGTGTTGATGTGCTGTTGTTGGTGTTATTTGAACTTATTCACACAAAATTCCCTTTTAATGGATTTTAAGTCTTTTGCCTGACATTTTGCCACTTATAAATGTCAAAATAAATATGTATTGATGTCTTGATTATGAACAAAAAAAAGATATCCACAATCAGTTAAAGTGCAATGAATGTTAAGGCAAATCAGTTTATGAGATTTATATATACGATATGCAAAGTGTATTTTTTTTTCTTTTCTTTTAATATAAAGTTTATTATACATATGTGCAAAGTTATCACACTAACGAAAACTTGAAAATGTGTGCAAAGTTAGTTAGTTAGTTAGTTAGTTAGTTTGAAAGGAGGATGTATATACATCAAATCCGAAGAAATACACCTAGGCCTCTATCGGGCCTGTTGTGCGCTCCTTAACCAGTGCCTCAGGTGGGAATCGAACCCACCACCTCCGGTGTACCAGTCTAGAACACTAACCACTAACCTACCGGAGGCAAAGTTAAGGGAGAAGATAAGATACTACATCAGACACCCCTTGAGGTATTTTAGATGGACATAAGATCATGATTGCAATTATTAACAGTTTTTGTTTAAGGTTTATTGTGTGTGTGATGATTATGTGTAGAATTTCACCAGTTATAATTGTATCCTTAGGATAATATTTCAATAGTATTTGAATGTTAACTTTTACAAGTAGTTGTGAATTTTTTTACTTTTAATTGACATCAAGATTTAAAAATACTTTTATAATACTTCATACCGAACCTTTCCCTTAACTGCTTCTTTGGAACTGAATCTAGTGAAGGGTTTGAATAAAGATAGCGGAGTATATTAAGCTATGTCCGTCTGTTTGACCATCTGTTTGTCTGATATTTTCGGGATCCGACAATTATATGAGATATGTATGTTTCGAGAAGTATACTATTTAAAATTAACAAAATCAAGCTCATAATCAATGGACATATACCTTTGAAAATATTGACCATCTGTCTGTCTGCTAATAAAAGCAATTTTCTAAAGAGCACCTGATATTTTGGGATCCAACAATTCTATGAAACTTGTTTCGAGAAGTTTCCTATTTAAAACACGTAAGAAATTATAGTCTGGCGGGATCGACCATATAATACCCTACACCTGTTACAAAAAAAATGTGATTTAGTTTCATAATAAAGCATTTAAGTTGAATTGTACCTTGCCTCAGATATACTTAAGACATTTATTGTTCAATAAAATTGTGGACATTTAAGTCAAATTTTGAAGGGGACTTTGAATAGGGGTATGGTCAAATGAGACCCTATAATTATAAAATTCATGAGGGTCATCAAGGATAGTATAGAACTTGCAGCTTTTTGTCGGATATGAGTATATTAAACATAATTATGAACTTAAAAGCTCTATTCGTCCAGTTATGTTGTATGGGGGCTAGGTGAAATAATGGACCGATGTTAACCATTTTCAATAGGCTTCGTCCCTGGGACAATAGAAGCTCATGTACCAAATTTCATTGTATTATCTTCAAAATTGCGACCTATAGTTTGATTACAAGGTTTACTTGGACGGACGGACGGACATAGCTAAATCGACTCAGAAAATGATTCTAAGCCGATTGGTATATTTTGGGTATACCTAGGTGGGTATAGGACCAATATTATTGTGCGTTACAAACATCAGCACAAACCCAATATACCCTTTCCACTAAAGTGGTGTAGGGTATAATTAACAAAATTGGCCCATAAATAACAGAGATATTACCAAATTTCCGAAACAACCTTTTACTATACTCAAGATTTGTCACAGTTAATGGCTGAAATCAGGGATGGAAACAATTTTAATATTTATGCTGAAACATTTTTCTGTGTACTAGTTTTAACTAAACTATTTGCTGTCTAAACCAAAACTACTATACCACCACAATATCAACTAAAATCTTAAACACAAAATATAAATATTTTTCCCAAAATCTATATTTTCGTTTAACCCCAAATTACACTTGACCTTCATGTCTGATTATATATATCGTTTGTTACATTCTTTAAATTACTATATAAATACACTACACTACTTAAGGCCTTAAGGTAATTAAATATATATTTAGTTATGACTAACAAACATTTAAATTTTTGCTAATTGACTTAATTGCCTGTTTGTTATCTTGAAAATGCTAAAACTACTACATCTAGTAATTTACTAAAAGCTACTTGTAGATATTTACTATTTATTACAGTAATATTTATTAGAGCTCGAGCTAAAATAAACATGTTACTTTTAGTTGTTGTTGTATTATATGTCTGTAGTATATTTGATATCTTAATTAAACAAAATGATAAATTGAAATTTACAAAAGAAGCTGATGAGGGCCTAAATAAATAAAAAAAATACTTAAAAGAGAGGCATTCATAAGCAACAAAAGCCAAAGAGAATTGCGATGTTACAAAAACGTACGGATGGATGAATGAACAGACAAACCAACGAATGAACAAACGAGTGGTTGTTTGGTTAGATAGACAACAATCAACTGTAACAATAATAGTATTTACAACAAAGCATCTCGTATAACATGTTGTTTGTAAGTTGTATTTTTATTTACTTTGTAGGCTTTTTATATTAAGGGTATTCACAGGTTTCTAAAAGCGGTTACTATAATGCCACTAATAGTGTCAAATTAATTGTTATTTATATTTCGGATGTCCAACCCTACTGGCCCACTATCCAATAGTACTAATCTTGGTGCAAATTTAATCCAAATCGATTTCTTGAGTTGGGCAACTTGACACGTATAAAAATATAAAGAATGGAAATACTCTGGATCTTCTAAACCCTTTGACCGATTTTAAACAAATTTCATACGCGTTAAGAAGAATTGTTTTCGAGTTTAAGTTTAGAATTTGGATATCATGGTCCAACCAGTGGCGCAGTCAGCTGATGTTTGTAACACCCAAAAAATATTGATCCTAAACCCTCCTTAAAGTATACCGTCGGCTCAGAATCGCTTTCTGTCCGTCTCTCCGTCCGTCCATGCGTCTGTTCGTCTGTGTGTCCATGTAAAACTTGTGCGCACGCTACAGGTCGCAATTTTTTAAGATAATGATGAAATTTGGCACATAAGCGACTTTTGGTCCAAAGACTAACGCTATTAAAAAAGGTCGAAATCAGTCCATTATTTCATCCCCATAAAACCGGACCCCCGAATAGGGCTTTTGACCTCATAATTATGTTAAATGTTATATTATCTCTACAAAACTTGGCAAAACTTATTTTTACAGCAGTCTTAATAATACTGACGATTTTCGTAATGATCAGGCCTCATTTGATCCTAGCCCCCATACAAAGTCTTCTTCAGAAAATGACTTCAATAATCACAATTCACTAATGAACACTAGTATCATGATGAAATTCGGCATAAATATCTTTTATATAAACATAAATCCTGCCAATAAATTTTATAAGGATCGGCCCAATTTTTGCCCTAGCCCCCATACAACCGGACCTTCCGATTTGGACCCATAACTAAGTCAAATATACCACTATCTTTCCCAAAATCGGCACAAGCAGATTTTCGTAGCTCCGTGTAAACCTTCTACACACGCTCCAGTCGTAGTTTTCAAGATAAAATTGATAAAATTTTGAAAATTGTTGAAATTTATTGAAAATAAAATATTAGCCCATTTTAGATGACCTAATATATTCTTAATTATTCTGGGCTTCGATAAACCTTTGTATGGATATTATGGCCAAGAAACTAATAAATCCTATTTTTGAGATTTTTCAAAACTTTTTTGCAAATTGAGGGATTCGTGATGCCAAATTTTCAATGAAAACGTCTATATAATTGTAAATTTCTTAAAAACATTTATTATAAGGATTATATGCAGACGACAAGGCATTTGATATATAAATACTTGTTTATACTAGTTGCTTCTCAAACCATATGTATTGACTCTCGTTTTATACAAATAGCGATCGGTAAACATAATATGTAATTGTTAACCGAACTAAAGCCCCAAACTGTGCAATGTTCTAAAGCCGGAAGTAAAGCTACTCATTGATATTATTGAAGCACTGTTAGGTAACCGAATAAAGTTATGGATAAAATTCACTGAGTTGTACGCTTTTAAAACTGACAGAGAATCTGGAATGCAATGTTCCGTGTAAGTGAGCAGCGCTTTACAAAAACAACAACAATTGAGCTAATAAAATAAAAACAATTTAAAATCATTTCAATGAATGGAATAGATTTTTTTTATTAAAACCGAGAATTACAAAGAGATTGAATGCATGTTTGGCATTCATTACGCAGTTTGTGAATTAAGTAGCAACAAAAATTCTAACGTCATACAGAAATTCTATTAAATTTTGCCACTCAACATTACATCTGCCGCTGCGAATGCAGCGTAGGCTGTTAGTTGTTTTATTTGATTACTCTACTAAATCAGAATCACGCGACAGACTAGAGAGTACGAGAATGTTTGGATGGAATTAAATGAAATTAAAATGGGTGGGTTACTATCGCATCTATGACAGACTGAGAGACTTGTTGAACAGTTTGAAAACATTATTTCAAATATTACTTCCATTCAAAATAAACAAGTGTTTAACGGTCAGATTCGTTGGTGGTTGAGTGCACGCTAACCATTTCACGAACATAGTAAATATTCTTTTATTTATAACAATTTTATATAAATTTTACTGATGACGAATTTCAAAATATTCGTCATACATATTGTTTACAAAAAGCCGGCAAAACATTTCAAAACAATACCTTAAAGTGTGCAGTTCATTCACCAGTTTTTAGTTAAAAAAAAAAATTAAAATAACTTTGTAAAATTAAACGCAGTATTAATATTTTGGGTTTTTTTTATAATAACAAAAATAAATGTTGTTTTCATTTAGTGGGCTACAAACAACTACCAGTACTAGTAAGAGTAGTACTTGCTAAAAATGTGTCAATATATTTAACAATGAACAAGTGTTAATTTTTAAATAAAAAAAAAAAAAATACTAAAATAAATATAAAGTTTGTTTTTATGGCTGTTTCAAGCCAAGCTTTTTAAATACTAAAAAAAAATTCTAGTACCGTAAATTTCAAAACTCATGACGTTGCTCTAGTTTAAGCTCATGTTTGTTACTCAAAGCATGTCGAAGAAATTCTCCATACTGCTAGCAGTTTCTATTACCATTCTGTTGCTGTTGGTAGTTGTGGTGATTGTAGTTACCGGGAGTTCATGTGCCGCTCTAAGAAATTGCGATTCATTTAAGCCCGTTTGTGCCACAAATAAATATGAACATCAATTCTTTTATAGCCAGTGTGATATGGTACGAGAAAATTGCATGACCGGAACAAGTAAGTGCTTGTAAAATCTAATGAATAGTGAATGATTTTGTTGTTTTTTCTTTTCGTAAAATGTTCTTTGCTGTTTATTTAGTATTTTCTAGCAATTTATTTACTGAGATTTAATCACATAATAATGTGAATTATTAGGTGCTTAAATGAAATTTACTTTAAGTACGCAAAGAAAAAAATAATAATAAAATAAAATGGAAAATGTGTTAAATATGAAATGTTCTTAATATGTTTGAATGGGTTAGAGAAGTATTAAAGTAAAATTTCAACAAATATAGTTTAGTATTTCAAGAAACTAATTGGCATAATTTGAAGAATTCTAATATATTAGTCATTTGGATTTATTTGAATTTTAATTTATTACAAATTGATTTTACTTAAGCACGTACAAATAATTTATACAAAAAATAAATTAAAATTCACATTCAATAAATAAATTTAGCATAATACAACAAACAATGTTAACCCATTGCAATATCTCTAAACTTGACGCGCCAGATTTTGAAACGTCATAACTTTATAAAATTAAAATGAGTGATAATGAGTCATTTACACATGGGTTAATTTCTACAACGTTTAATAAACGATTTTTAATCAAATAATCGCTATTCAAATAACATTTTGATTTATATTTGAAAAACGAAAATTTTTTATAAAATGGGAATATATCGAAAATTTTCTATAAAAAGGAAATTTATCGAACATATTCTTTAAAAAGAAAATTTTATCGAATATTATCTATAAAAGGAAATTTATCAAAAATTTTCTCTAAAAAGGAAATTAATCGAAAATTTTCTATAAAAAGAAAATTTATCGAAAATTTCCTATAAAAAGAAAATTTCCTATAAAAAAAAAAAAAAAATATCGAAAATTTCCTATAAAGAGAAAATTTATCGAAAATTTCCTATAAAAAGAAAATTTATCGAAAATTTCCTATAAAAAGAAAATTTATCGGAAATTTCCTATAAAAAGAAAATTTATCGAAAATTTCCTATAAAAAGTAAATTCATCGAAAATTTCCTATAAAAAGTAAATTTATCGAAAATTTCCTATAAAAAGTAAATTTATCGAAAATTTCCTATAAAAAGTAAATTTATCGAAAAATTTCCTATAAAAAGAAAATTTATGGAAAATTTCCTATAAAAAGAAAATTTATAGAAAATTTACTATAAAAATAAAATTTATCGAAAATTTCCCATAAAAAGAAAATTTATCGAAAATTTCCTATAAAAAGAAAATGTATCGAATATTTCCTATAAAAAGAAAATTTATCGAAAATTTCCTATGAAACGAAAATTTATCGCAAAAAAATTAAAATTTATCAAAAATTTTCTTTAAAAAGAATATTAATCGAAAATTTCCTGTAAAAAGAATATATATCGAAAATTTCCTGTAATAAGAAAATTTATCGAAAATTTCCTACAAAAAGAAAATTTATCGCAAAAAAATTAAAATTTATCAAAAATTTTCTATAAAAAGAATATTTATCGAAAATTTTCTATAAAAAGAAAATTTATCGGTAGTTTTCCATAGAAGGAAAATTTATCGGTAGTTTTCCATAGAAGGAAAATTTATCGGTAGTTTTCTATAAAATAAAATTTATCGAAAATTTCCTATAAAAAGAAATTTTATCGCAAATTTCCTATAAAAAGAAAATTTATCGAAAATTTCCTATAAAAAGAAAATTTATCGAAAAAAGAAAATTTATCGAAAATTTCCTATAAAAAGAAAATTTATCGAAAATTTCCTATAAAAAGAAAATTTATCGAAAATTTCCTATAAAAAGAAAATTTATCGAAAATTTCCTAAAAAAAGAAAATTTATCGAAAATTTCCTATAAAAAGAAAATTTATCGAAAATTTCCTATAAAAAGAAAATTTATCGAAAATTTCCTATAAAAGAAAATTTATCGAAAATTTCCTATAAAAAGAAAATTTATCGAAAATTTCCTATAAAAAGAAAATTTATCGAAAATTTCCTATAAAAAGAAAATTTATCGAAAATTTCCTATAAAAAGAAAATTTATCGAAAATTTCCTAAAAAAAGAAAATTTATCGAAAATTTCCTATAAAAAGAAAATTTATCGAAAATTTCCTATAAAAAGAAAATTTATCGAAAATTTCCTATAAAAAGAAAATTTATCGAAAATTTCCTAAAAAAAGAAAACTTATCGAAAATTTTCTAGAAAAAGAAAATTTATCGAAAAATTTCTAGAGAAAGAAAATTGATCAACAAATTTCTAGAGAAAGAAAAATTATCGAAATTTTGTAGAGAAAGAAAATTTATCGAAAATTTTCTATAAAAATAAAATTTATCGAAAATTTCTATAACAAGAACATTTATCGAAAATTTTCTATAAAAAGAAAATTTATCGAAAATTTTCTAGATTAAAAAAATTTATAGAAAATTTTCTGTTAAAAAAAGAAAATGTAGTGAAAATTTTTCTATAGAAAAAAATTGAGATTTTTAAAGTTAAAAAAGTGCCACGCTCACAGGCAAAGTAAGTATTAAAAGTAGATTATTTTAGAAACTGCTACAGCTAGATTTAACAATAATATTTGTTATATAATTGTGAGCGAAATGGGCAGACTGGGTATAGTGAGAGTGGCACTTCCCATATATAGAAAATATTTAATAAGTATGTATTTCTGACAAATTATATAAGTTAGAGTCCAAAAATTTCGTGAGAGCCACTTTAGTAATAATATGAATATTTCTGTTAAAAATGTGCGGACTAGCAACATATGGCCAGATACCCCCATATGAATGAGTTATAATCCTCAAATTTTGCAAGAATAACTTTGACATCCGTGTGAATATTACTGTAATAAATTGGCGTATTAGCAGTAGACGAAAATGGGTGAACTAGCAACACGGCACCACATACCCCTTTAAATAAAAATAAATCGTATATCTGAGAAACTATTAAAGCTAGAATCCTTAAATTTTCCAAGATCAACTATGACATCCATGTGAACATTAGTGTAATAAATTGGCAGATTAGCAATAAAGGGCCTGTCCCCGTATATGAATTATGTACAAAACTATATTTGAGAATCTATTAGAGCTATAATCCTCAAATTTTTCAAGAACAACTTTGACAGCCATGTGAACTACAAAAGGTAGGAGGTCTCAACTGTTGTACTTTAGTATCAATATGACACAGTTAGTTTAAGAGTAAGTCAACTAGAAATAGTGGGCGTGGCTCCCTACATATAAAATGAATGCTAAAAGTCGTAGAATTGTATAACCAATTGTTTTTTAGTGTAACGAAGCACACTGGGTAAGCTAGTTTTCTATAAAAAGAATGTTTTTATCAACAATTTCTAAAAAAATAATATTTAATGAAAATTTTCTATAAAAATTTCCGTAAAATGAATTTTTTTTATAAAAGGAAAATTAAGAGGAAAATGTCTACGAGAAGAAACTGTTAAATTTTTACTGAAATCTTCTCCCACTGTATAATTTACTTAACAATAAATAACCTTATATTTTTTTGCTATTATTATTTGTTATTATTAATTTGAATATAATATTTTTTTGAATTTTATTTAATGGTAATTTATTTAAAATTTATATTTTTCTTTACAGAATGGAAACGTGATCATTTTTCACATTGCAATGTAAATAGCTAAATTATGCTAAATGCTACCACAAATAATTTTTTTTTCGCAATTAGTATTATTTTTAAAATACATATTTATAAATACATAATAGAACTTTGTATATAGTTTTAGTTTAAATTAGTTTTAAATATACTACCAAACAAATGCCTTTATTATTAATATGCCAAAAAGCAAAGTCAATTGTGTTCTAAATAAACTAAAATATAATTTTAATAATTATTTTTATAAACTAAACTAAATATTTGTTTGAAATTTAATAAAAAAGTAGAAAATTAAAAAAAAGAATAAACGTTAAATGCAGCTGGGGTAAGTTAGTAAGTATTGAATGCTGCAGCAACGGCATATAGTAGGTGGATTTAACGAACATAATTATAAATGTATTAAAATTTTTTTTGTTGAAAACATTTTTTAATCATATAACTTGTTTATTTATGAATTCGTATGTATTTATATGAACATTGGAGTACTTTTAATAACGGAAGTTCTTTAATTTAAAAATATTGTATAAAATTTTATGTTCATTTCCGCTTGTAACAAAAAAACATACACACCAACTCTAAATTAATACTTTAAAATTTGTTACATGAATGTGTGCAGGTTTTAAGCAGTGTTTGTATGCTGAAAAAAGTATATCAAATTCTCCCCTTTACTTGGATTTTATTCAATGTTATTATAAATTTTTCCTCAATAATTACAGCATTTTGCCGAATGGTTTTATGCATTCGTTCATACATTCATTATTCATCATCATTGTCATCATCATAATTCTGTGATGGCATTTTTTTCGAGTATTTTTATTAATAATATGCGTTAAATAATGGAATATGCATAAGCGCAAACAAACAAAAAATTTATATCTGTTGTTTAAATATTTATTCACTTTTTTTCATGTTTACCAATACTTAACAGCTTATTAAAAAAATATATTAATAATAAAAGTAGTGGAGCAAAAAATATGTATTAAATAAAAAAAAAAAAAAAGAATCATAAACTATTCGAAATGAAACAATATTATTGTCAAATAAACATTGGGAACAACAAAAGTAAATATTTGATCATCCATAGATTTGCATAGACAGAAGCAAAAAATGACCATGTTTAAAATAATTATGCAAAAATTGGATGATAATGAGAATAGAGATATGTGTTGTAGAGTCTGATGTTCAATTATCTGGACGACAATAGTCGTTTGTGATCACAAAAAACAGTAGCCCAAAAAGTAGAATTGTACAGAGAATAGACCAAAGATCACGCCACACCTTAGTCCATAGACTGATCACTAGACGAGTCAAAATTCTATTACATAGACCAGACCATATACATACGTACTGCAGATTAGTCCATAGACCTATAGATAGACATGTTAATAGATAAGTCTACAGATTTGTCAACTGAATAGTCAGTAGACTAGTAAATAGGCTGAAAAGTAATTAGCCTGTAGACTAGACTATGACTAGACTATGACTAGACTATGACTAGACTATGACTAGACTATGACTAGACTATGACTAGACTATGACTAGACTATGACTAGACTATGACTAGACTATGACTAGACTATGACTAGACTATGACTAGACTATGACTAGACTATGACTAGATTATGACTAGACTATGACTAGACTATGACTAGACTATGACTAGACTATGACTAGACTATGACTAGACTATAACTAGACTATGACTAGACTATGACTAGACTATGACTAGACTATGACTAGACTATGACTAGACTATGACTAGACTATGACTAGACTATGACTAGACTATGACTAGACTATGACTAGACTATGACTAGACTATGACTAGACTATGACTAGACTATGACTATTTTATGACTAGACTATGACTAGACTATGACTAGACTATGACTAGACTATGACTAGACTATGACTAGACTATGACTAGACTATGACTAGACTATGACTAGACTATGACTAGACTATGACTAGACTATGACTAGACTATGACTAGACTATGACTAGACTATGACTAGACTATGACTAGACTATGACTAGACTATGACTAGACTATGACTAGACTATGACTAGACTATGACTAGACTATGACTAGACTATGACTAGACTATGACTAGACTATGACTAGACTATGACTAGACTATGACTAGACTATGACTAGACTATGACTAGACTATGACTAGACTATGACTAGACTATGACTAGACTATGACTAGACTATGACTAGACTATGACTAGACTATGACTAGACTATGACTAGACTATGACTAGACTATGACTAGACTATGACTAGACTATGACTAGACTATGACTAGACTATGACTAGACTATGACTAGACTATGACTAGACTATGACTAGACTATGACTAGACTATGACTAGACTATGACTAGACTATGACTAGACTATGACTAGACTATGACTAGACTATGACTAGACTATGACTAGACTATGACTACACTATGACTAGAGTCCCTAATCTAATTGACTAACACATACAATAGGCTATAGGCTTGATAAAAGAATAGTTCACAAAATAGACCACTCCATTGTAAATAGTTAAGTCAACATACTAGTCAATAGATTAATCAGCAGACTAATCATAAGATTAGTTTTTTGAATAGTCCATGGCTATTTCATAGAATATCGCTTACACAAGTCAGTAGGTTACTTCATGGACCAGTTACCAAATTAGTCAAAAGACTAGTCAATGGAATATTCAGAGATTGATCCGTAGATTTCTCTCAGTGGACTCGTCCTCAATCATGTCAATACTTAGATAAGATCACAAGTAAGTAAACTAATTCAAGGACTAGATAAAAGACTAGTCTATGAAACCAATGAGTAATTTAATAACTACAAAGTCTATTACCTATTCTATTGAAGTTTGGAGTTGTATCTAATAAAATGACAAACTCTTATATATCAATACCATTACGGTGTTTGCAAAACTATCAACCAATTCATTATGATCTTCAACTCGCTTTAACTGCATTTGTTACAGCAAAAAAAAGTAAATAAATCAAATTGTATCTAATCTTCATTTCATTAATTTATTTAAACAATAAAGTGTTAAATCCATTTTTATTAAACTGGCTTAACTTTTGAACACGCTATTTACTCTATTGTCTAGGTAAATATTAAGCCATAAAAATAATCAAAACAAATACAAATTAATTCATATTATTAAATTAATTTCTAGATAAATATATAAATATTGTATAATTTTTTTCAGGCTGCAACAACTACCCAACTGAGTTAAACCATCATCATTTATGATGATTGCAACACACTCAACACTGAAAATTGACTTAAACAAGAGGCTGCACGTAAAAGAGTAGTGACCCCCATAGTTTTTCCTAACTGATGATTTTTAAAGTGTCGCAAATAAACAATATAAATAAAATATTTACAAAAAAGTTTGTGTATATTATTATTGTTTTTTTTTTTTTTGTACCTCCACACACATTTGTAGTGGCACAATAATAAAACAAAATAAAAAAATTCAAATATAAATAAAATAAATAAATCATAAATTGCATATAAAAGTGTCTGTGTGTGTGCATGCATTTATTCACTAGATAGATTCAATTTACATACGAGCACATAAATAAATATGATGGTTTTTTTTTATTTATTTAATACGCGTTTAAAAGTAAACAAAAAGTATGCTAAATTTTTAAGTGTTTGGAGCTGAGATTACAACTATGACAACTGATTGCGTTTGAACTCTAAAAGCTCGGTTGCAGTCAGTGAGTGATAAATGAAATACACTTGACGCGAGTCTAGTTGTTGCATGAATGAACTTATGATTGTTATGAAGTCAGTCAGAATTTAAATACGAGCTATATTAATTGAATACCTAGTAAGTAACTGCATTTTGTAGTATTAAGATTTTTAATGGCTAGTAATTTTGGATTAAATTTGTATCTATAGAATAGACTATAGACTAGACTATAGACTAGACTATAGACTAGACTATAGACTAGACTATAGACTAGACTATAGACTAGACTATAGACTAGACTATAGACTAGACTATAGACTAGACTATAGACTAGACTATAGACTAGACTATAGACTAGACTATAGACTAGACTATAGACTAGACTATAGACTAGACTATAGACTAGACTATAGACTAGACTATAGACTAGACTATAGACTAGACTATAGGACTAGACTATAGACTAGACTATAGACTAGACTATAGACTAGACTATAGACTAGACTATAGACTAGACTATAGACTAGACTATAGACTAGACTATAGACTAGACTATACTAGACTATAGACTAGACTATAGACTAGACTAGACTAGACTATAGACTAGACTATAGACTAGACTATAGACTAGACTATAGACTAGACTATAGACTAGACTATAGACTAGACTATAGACTAGACTATAGACTAGACTATAGACTAGACTATAGACTAGACTATAGACTAGACTATAGACTAGACTATAGACTAGACTATAGACTAGACTATAGACTAGACTATAGACTAGACTATAGACTAGACTATAGACTAGACTATAGACTAGACTATAGACTAGACTATAGACTAGACTATAGACTAGACTATAGACTAGACTATAGACTAGACTATAGACTAGACTATAGACTAGACTATAGACTAGACTATAGACTAGACTATAGACTAGACTATAGACTAGACTATAGACTAGACTATAGACTAGACTATAGACTAGACTATAGACTAGACTATAGACTAGACTATAGACTAGACTATAGACTAGACTATAGACTAGACTATAGACTAGACTATAGACTAGACTATAGACTAGACTATAGACTAGACTATAGACTAGATTATAGACTAGACTACAGACTAGACTATAGACTAGACTATAGACTAGACTATAGACTAGACTATAGACTAGACTATAGACTAGACTATAGACTAGACTATAGACTAGACTATAGACTAGACTATAGACTAGACTATAGACTAGACTATAGACTAGACTAGACTATAGACTAGACTATAGACTAGACTATAGACTAGACTATAGACTAGACTATAGACTAGACTATAGACTAGACTATAGACTAGACTATAGACTAGACTATAGACTAGACTATAGACTAGACTATAGACTAGACTATAGACTAGACTATAGACTAGCTATAGACTAGACTATAGACTAGACTATAGACTAGACTATAGACTAGACTATAGACTAGACTATAGACTAGACGATAGACTAGACTATAGACTAGACTATAGACTAGACTATAGACTAGACTATAGACTAGACTAGACTATAGACCACACTATATTCTACACTATAGACTACTCCATAGACTAGACTATAGACTAGTCTATAGACTATATACTAGTCTTTAGACTATAGACTAGGCTACAGACTAGAATTTTCATTGGATAATTAAATTGTGCATTTAATATTAAAATTCTATTTTTATTTTTACAAAGATCAATAAATTGCAATTAGTTATGCAAAATTGTAATAAATTTCAACATGAAGTGAAAAAAATATAACAATTGTTTTTATTATTACAACTACAACAAGTAACTGTAGAAAAAACAAAAGAAAAAACCCAACAATCTGAAAGATTAATTTGCATACTAATAACTACAAGATGATGAAAATGAGAATATTTTGTTGCTTGTTGTAAGTTAACAACAACTAAAATAGATGTTGTCGATGGTGATGGGCAAGAAGTTGAAGAACGTTGCAAATGATGAAAAAGTTTCATTTAAAATTGTTACTATTGTTTTATTGAAATTCTTAAGGAACATTGATATTTTTTGTAAGTTCTGTACTGTTTTTTTCCTTGTATAAAAAAATATTATTTTTTTCATCTTTATCATTTGTTCTTTAGTTTATGTATAGAACGTACTGTTTCTTTAAAATTCATAATTTCAAATAGATTGCAAAAAAAGCGCTTCTAGCAAAGTAGCTTTTTTGTAGATTTGTCTACAGGAAGAAGTAGCAGCAGTGGCTTTTGTTACAAAAATACTTCATTTGGTTGCAATATTAAAGGCTCTTCTTCTACTTCTTTTTATTATGAATTCTTCAACTTGTTAGCATTTAAAAATTTTGTTGCAATTGTTGTTTTTCACTTTATTTTGTTCAGTTGTATAAATGGGTTGGCTGTTGGCACTCTAAACTTCTAGCTGAAAGTCAGATTTTTAAATATTTTTCACATTGAAACTATGGTTATAACTACTATAGAGTTTGTAAGAGTTTAGTTTAAATAATCTACATAAAAGTACCTGTAAATATGTTTAACGATTTGTTTATATATTTTCTTGATATTTTTTCTCAAATAGTAATTTTACTTGAGATCACAAGAAAAATGTTATAAAATAATAAATTGTTAAATGCAAGTAAAATGTACAATTTATACAAACAAAATGTACAATTTTTCTTTGTGAAAAGTGAATGGCATAAACAATAGCCTTTGAATATTCACAAAACAAAATGATTGTTGTTATAATAAACTAAAGTAAGTATTAAAAGAAAATTTATTCATACGAAAATAAAAAAAGAACTTATAAACAATTAGTATAAAAGATAGAGAAAAACAACAACCTGTTACATTTAAATATACACAAAACTTGTAATTTAAGGCAGTAATAAGAAATAAAAACAAAAATTTATAAAAAAATTTTATGACCTAAAAATGTGTTAACGAGATAAAAATATCGAAAAAGAAATTATTAATATTTAATACACTTATGTATATACATAAGCTGGATACTTAAATAGTAAGATCCATAACTTGACTTAGTATAGGCTATAGTGTAATCTATAGTGTAGTCTATAGTCTAGACTATAGTCTAGTCTATAGTCTAGACTATAGTCTAGTCTATAGTCTAGTCTAGTCTAGTCTAGTCTAGTCTATAGTCTAGTCTATAGTCTAGTCTATAGTCTAGTCTATAGTCTATAGTCTAGTCTATAGTCTAGTCTATAGTCTAGTCTAGTCTAGTCTAGTCTAGTCTAGTCTATAGTCTAGTCTATAGTCTAGTCTATAGTCTAGTCTATAGTCTAGTCTATAGTCTAGTCTATATTCTAGTCTATAGTCTAGTCTATAATCTAGTCTATAGTCTAGTCTATAATCTAGTCTATAGTCTAGTCTATAGTCTAGTCTATAGTCTAGTCTATAGTCTAGTCTATAGTCTAGTCTATAGTCTAGTCTATAGTCTAGTCTATAATCTAGTCTATAGTCTAGTCTATAGATCTAGTCTATATCTAGTCTATAGTCTAGTCTATAGTCTAGTCTATAGTCTAGTCTATAGTCTAGTCTATAGTCTAGTCTATAGTCTAGTCTATAGTCTAGTCTATAGTCTAGTCTATAGTCTAGTCTATAGTCTAGTCTATAGTCTAGTCTATAGTCTAGTCTATAGTCTAGTCTATAGTCTAGTCTATAGTCTAGTCTATAGTCTAGTCTATAGTCTAGTCTATAGTCTAGTCTATAGTCTAGTCTATAGTCTAGTCTATAGTCTAGTCTATAGTCTAGTCTATAGTCTAGTCTATAGTCTAGTCTATAGTCTAGTCTATAGTCTAGTCTATAGTCTAGTCTATAGTCTAGTCTATAGTCTAGTCTATAGTCTAGTCTATAGTCTAGTCTATAGTCTAGTCTATAGTCTAGTCTATAGTCTAGTCTATAGTCTAGTCTATAGTCTAGTCTATAGTCTAGTCTATAGTCTAGTCTATAGTCTAGTCTATAGTCTAGTCTATAGTCTAGTCTATAGTCTAGTCTATAGTCTAGTCTATAGTCTAGTCTATAGTCTAGTCTATAGTCTAGTCTATAGTCTAGTCTATAGTCTAGTCTATAGTCTAGTCTATAGTCTAGTCTATAGTCTAGTCTATAGTCTAGTCTATAGTCTAGTCTATAGTCTAGTCTATAGTCTAGTCTATAGTCTAGTCTATAGTCTAGTCTATAGTCTAGTCTATAGTCTAGTCTATAGTCTAGTCTATAGTCTAGTCTATAGTCTAGTCTATAGTCTAGTCTATAGTCTAGTCTATAGTCTAGTCTATAGTCTAGTCTAGTCTAGTCTATAGTCTAGTCTATAGTCTAGTCTATAGTCTAGTCTATAGTCTAGTCTATAGTCTAGTCTATAGTCTAGTCTATAGTCTAGTCTATAGTCTAGTCTATAGTCTAGTCTATAGTCTAGTCTATAGTCTAGTCTATAGTGTAGTCTATAGTCTAGTCTATAGTCTAGTCTATATAGTCTATAGTCTAGTCTATAGTCTAGTCTATAGTCTAGTCTATAGTAGTCTATAGTCTAGTCTATAGTCTAGTCTATAGTCTAGTCTATAGTCTAGTCTATAGTCTAGTCTATAGTC